CCATATACGCGTAGCAGCAAAGGGTAACCACGTGCCAGCTCGTGCTGCATCTCACGATGCAGTTGAGCCGCTCTTAGATCGAATCTCCTCTGCAGTTCAGACGGATCGTGGACAGACAACAGGGTACTGCAGTAGCTATGCCGCTATGGCAGGGCGTGGCTTGACGTCGACGACCATCGCCCTAGTAGCAGTCAGTAGCCAGCAACCCCCTGACGTATTGCAGGTCCTGAGACGACTAATAGCGTCACAAAGGTATTCACATGTCTTTCGAACTCACTCAGGGTTAAATATATCATCGACTTAGGTACTAGTAGACGTCGGGCGATTAGCCAGCAGGTTTTGAGGTCCTGCACGTGGAACCAGTCTTCCATGTAAACACACACAGTCATTTTGACGTTCTATGCTACAGTACATGATTGTATGACAGACAACATGATTGTATGTGTGTGAAAGTGTTTGTTATTGTGCCATCGTCCGTGTCTTGACGAACGCAACTGGTCTTACGGAGGTGACGTCAGACAAAAGATTTGTGACACACATGGACCGTTGCGCTGTTTCACTGGCTCCGATCGATCCTCCATCTTTGCGACATGATGCAGTCATTTATTTTACGCTTTGCACTGCCGTCATTCTCACCTTTTAAGTTTTAGATTTGCGCCATGATGCAGTCATGATGCACTTTGCTTTGTGGGTATATACATGACTGTACAAATGTAAACCAGTACTGATCCAGATCTACTCATTGCCGTTGTCTGATGATCGCTTAGTGCGTGAAACTCTGAGTTAAAACACTTTTTCCGTCCTCTTATTGTTTGATCCTCCATCTATTCATAATTATCCACCCTCTCTCCCCTCCTCGGCCTTACATGTACATGTACATGTATATGCATGCCTGTACTGTTAATAAATCAAAACATTCACGTACATGTACATGTACACGAACAACGCTATGCACATGATGCAGCACATGCACACAGCATGCACTCATCTGCACTATGACTTGGTAGTCTCCGTTGTAATCGAGAACTGCGGGCGTGACAATACCACCGCATACGGCACATACATCTATATACCATGTACATGGTATGCACATGTATGTAGAGAAGGAACTTCCTATCGTCCTTCCTCTGGGACACAAGACCTGGAAAACATGTACAATGATGGTACTAGCTGGCACTGGGTACAGTATAAGGCCATTGTCACCAAACCGGTCACTCCAGGGGTTGGGGTTTCGCACCTCACCTAAAACACTTCCTTGCAAGCAACTTCTCGCGCCTTGGAGTACACGTATTTGTTTTTTTGCTGCTCAGCACCCAATACTGGCAATAGCCGGTACGTGATAGGTGCAGATGGGCAAGAACTGTAGAGGTAGGCAACGCAGCATTGGCCAGACAACAGAAAGCTCTGGAGATGACGTACATGCTGCAATTGGCAAACCTTGTCTCACTCTATATACAGGTCGGCGAGTAGACTGGTTGTAAAAAGGACCATCTTCGCTTTTGGCTCGCGGCTGTCTTTCCTGGTTGTACTGGCTGGCAGGTGGATTTGCCAAGGACAGGGTAGAGAGACGTGCGATCTTTCGGGCAGCGTAAGACCAGTGACCATGAGCCTTGATATGACGTGCAGAAATGAAACAGACCCAATACGAACTGAGCCATGCGTGTGTGTATGTGTGTGTGTGTGCGTGTGTGTGTGCTTGCTGCATCATGGGCTGAAAGTAAGCAATATTTGTTGAACGAGCGAAGCAATCGTTTGCAACGGAACAAGGGTGTCCATCAATGATCTGTAGCTGCTAACAGAGAAGCGGAAAGGCGGCATAGTTCAACGCCTTCCAGGCATCCAGCACCGCAAAACCCTTTTCACAATCTACACGTGATGTTCACTACATAGCCATTATATTAGACCTTTTCATCTGTTTTCTCAATATGTCGCAGAGGTACAGTGCACTTCAACTAATATGTATTACATGTACTTGTAACTGTGCATATCGCTGTTTGCACGCACTCACGTGACCCGGGTTAAATACGCACACACACAGCGGTCTCTCTCTCTCTCTCTCTCTCTCTCTCGCTCTCTCTCTCTCTCTCTCTCTCTCTCTCTCTCTCTCTCTCTCTCTCTCTCTCTCTCTCTCTCTCTCTCTCTCTCTCTCTCTCTCTCTCTCTCTCTCTCTCTCTCTCTCTCTCGCTCTCTCTCTCTCTCTCTCTCTCTCTCTCTCTCTCTCTCTCTCTCTCTCTCTCTCTCTCTCTCTCTCTCTCTCTCTCTCTCTCTCTCTCTCTCTCTCTCTCACACACACACACACGCACACACACACACACACACACACACACACACACACACACACACACACACACACACACACACGTACACGATCTGTTTGGACGCTTCTTGCATCGTAATTTTGAGCCAAATGCATCTTACTCTTAACCCAAACCGCATTTGGTTTTCATAGATTAGTACTACATGATTGTATACGATATGAGGGCGTGCGTGCGTGCATGGGAGAGTGATAATACAGTCATGTACATGTACCTCCCAAAGTTACGTATGCACATACATGTAGTGTCAGGTTTTCAGTAAACTTTTCACGCAACATGCGTTACACTACATGACTGTTTGTACATGTAGCCCTAGATCTAGTGTGTTCATCACAGGCCAGGTAAGGTTACTAAGGGGTTCAGTGGCTGGCGAGCTCGACCTGTTAAAATACAGCTGGATCAGAGGAGTCAGCGGTCTCTCGTCGCAAAGGAGATTTCTTCGCAGGCAAGGAACGTTGACATGACACCCTACACCAAATGGCTGAGGGCTCACCGAGTCATCCGCGCTGTGGCATCGCACTCTTCAGCCACAGAACAAAAGCAGATTCACAAGTGCCTGTGTGTTGTTCCTGGCCCCTTTAATTATTTTAACCCTTTGAGGTGCCACTGAACGCGTTAAATGAGTTTAGCTGTTCCTTTAGGCAGAACACATGATAGTGTACATGATTGTAGTGCGTTTAATGTGACAAAGAGCGGCTCAGAGACGTTCATCCCTCTTGATATTTGCACTTTGTACTGTTGGGGCAACGAACTGAAAATAATAAAAACCCAAACCCAAACCAAACCAAACAGAGACCAGTAATACGAGTTGTAGACTACTACATTTACTAGTAGTGAGTTACCAGGTATACATAACGTGCGTTACTATCCGCCCGTCTTTCTACTGCTGAGGAGAGTCGCAAGCCAACATGCCATGGCAACAACTAACTTGCTGCTCATCGGCTATTTTAAAAGTACTATCTGTACATGTACATGTGCTGATGTCTACAAATTCACACCTTCCATTTCTATATTCACTAGCAATCTAAACTTTCTGCGCTAATACTGTAATAGCTCCCTCGCCTAAGCAACCATCCACAACCATCATGGCAATATTGTCTGTGCTGAATCAGACACCAACCAGCTATCGCTAGGCTATGCTTTATATTGGCCAAGTCCCACTGAGCATGTAATAGTCGCCTGATGATTGCATTGAGCAAGAAACTCCGAGTTGCGACAACTCTGTAAAACTTCATTGTGCCTTTTGTGTGTACATGTACATGTATTTACAACAGCATTCCCATGTTCACATCGCTCTCTGGTAAAATGCTGCATAATAATTCTCTTCTACGACCTTCTCCAGAATGCCACCTATGTCGAATAAGTAAAAAAAGTAAAATTATCGTGTCCGCAACGAAGCTAGGGAACTCACGACGGCCGCTAACACCCGGTAAACCCTGTCGAATAGGCTAACCTCAAACCTGGACCCAACCGGACCTGGACCAGGAATACTGCTGACACACGAAGTGCTTGCAGAAAGAACAGAATACATGTATCTACCGTAGGAGTTGGCCCTCTGCCGACTTCCTTTTTTTTAATTTTATATTTACTACCGGTATGTTGCATAGCCAGCTCGAAAAGAATAATGGTGCGGAGACTAGGACAAACGTGACAACTAATGAGCAGGCGCTATCATCATGATTCTAGGGTTATCTTTCCCGAATCCCACACGCCACCTTCCCATCCACCCACTACGATCACATAATGTACATCACTACATGTGCTAGCAAAGCTATGGTTGATACTTATCTATCCGTCAACTCCGACCTGCACCGATGGTCGACGAGACGACATCCAAAGGTGTGCGAAGTCCCTGTATACATGTACATGTACATACCTCCCACGGTCACCGTATTCGAGGCACCGGTCATACACGGTGTTATTGCAGCCCGATCTCAAGTAAGTTCACACCAGAGTTATCCACGGTATTGGAATGGGTCTTTCAATCGCACCATGTCGGCGGCTTTTAACGTCCAATAGACGGGCCCCGCGGGACGTTGGAAATGAACATGCATGCCATGGCACCGCTTAGTACACATTGTCCACACACTGAAGAGAAACGATTCCAGTCTTCGAGGGTGTGATGTATGGACGGACTACTGGCAGTAGACTTTAAATACCAGTATAGTGCACACACGTATGCATACTGGTCCGAACAAAATCGTAAGTCATTCCGCTGAGTGACTCGGCCATAGCGTCCAGGAAAGAAGCCAGAGGTGAATGAAGGATCGGACCCAGGGCTAGGGCTAGGGCGGAGGATTCCATTACACCCTTTATATTATTGTTAGTAGTATTCCATCATCGGGAATCGTGACACCGTCGCTTCTACTCATTCAGTCATTGCTTGGTCCGTTCCTCCCCATGCTGGCTCAGATAGGAGTGCACTCGCTGCATTAGCTCAGCAGTGCACTCGCTGCAGCCTAGCGCCTATGCCTAGCGCCTATGCCTATGCCTATGCCGTGGACCACCACTACTGGCACTACATCATACGTGCATACTGTACTGAACTACTGAACTGCTAGCTGCTCGGGTCTTCGAGTCCGTAGTGCTGCTCCTGGGCATACGGCTCGGTCTGCTATCCAATACTGGCAATAGCAATAATAGGCGCAGTACAGCGAGCAGCAGCACTAGATCAACACTGGCTGTAGCTATGTCATGGTGTACTACTCATTGGCAACCTCCGTGGTGGGGGCTGCAGCTAGTGTTCTGAAGTATAAAGCAGGCACTTGGTCTTGAGGGCATCTCAGTTCCGAACAAATTGCTTTCCAACCCACTCTTCGTTTTCTCTTTGCAGGCGAGCAACATCCGCTTGTTGACATTCTCACTCCTTTCGTCCTTGTTCCTTTGGCTGACAGGAAATGTCAGTCATGGCGCTTACATACTACTCTGGCATCATATATGCAGCTGTGATGTGTTCTAGCCTGGCTTTGGGTCGCAACATTCACATATCGAGGACCACTCCTGTCGAGGTGGAGAATTCTGAGACGGTGGCCGCCTCCATATTGAATGACTCCGGTGCAAGCAAATGTGGCGCCAAGAAGAAATTCTCGCTCCGTCTGTTCGAAGGCAGCAGTCCTGAGCCGAGTGACTCGGACAGTAAAGTCGTCTGCAACGATGGCACACCGGCTGGGTACGTACCTATCGTTATTAAAACATTACCTGATCATGTGCTGCGTATGCATGCCTTGTAGACATTCTTTGCTGTATACATGTGCTGTGCATGGCATTCACGGTAGAGTTCACAACACCGGTCGCTCGCTCACTGATAGCAAGACTATGGCTACATGCATGGCTGTGCTAGTCCGTCCTCTCTTCAGGATATTCAGTGTGATATTGCTTGAATTCTTGCGTTGGATTTTCTATCATCTGTGTTTCCCAACACAATCCGCGGTCATTTCGTAGTACGATTCGAGGGCGCGGCTAAAGTGATCCGACGAAACTACGGGGCGCAACAGACACAGTTGCTTCTTTTCATTGAACAGATTTGCAAACTCTCCAGTGCCATAGCACTAGCAGCAGGTAGGAGCAAGGAGCGCAGATGCGCTTTGACAAATGTACCGACACCCTTGGTATGTGTGTGGACCGGCTAGCCCAAAGAAGCAATTGCTATTTGCGGTGTGTGTCGGCGAGCGACGGCAGCTGGCTTATTGTACAGGCCTGGTTCAGACTAAGAGAGTCCAGACCTCATCATGTAGATCAGGGGCCAAGGGGAAAGATGAGCGCTGTGAGAAATTTGGCCACTTTTGGACGGACAGCAATGCTGCGGTAGTCCAGCCGGGCTGCTTGTGTCGGAAGTAGATGACTATCCTAGAGGAAGTGCTTCACAACCTTCAGTCTCAGCCTTCAGTCACAGCCTTCAGTCTCAAGTCTTTCTCTCTCTATCTCTCTCCCTCTATCTCTCTCTCTCTCTCTCTCTCTCTCTCTCTCTCTCTCTCTCTCTCTCTCTCTCTCTCTCTCTCTCTCTCTCTCTCTCTCTCTCTCTCTCTCTCTCTCTCTCTCTCTCTCTCTCTCTCTCTCTCTCTCTCTCTCTCTCTCTCTCTCTCTCTCTCTCTCTCTCTCTCTCTCTCTCTCTCTCTCTCTCTCTCTCTCTCTCTCTCTCTCTCTCTCTCTCTCCTCTCTCTCTTTCTCTCTTCAAAGCCAAAAGGTCTGCAAAGGGGAGAGTTTTAGGAAAGGAGAAAGATAGCACAGCACAGTAATTGAGATGAATTACAATTTTTGTAGATGTTCTCCATGTTCTCGATGCACCAATGACTATGTATCACCATCGAGGCACACCTGTTCTTTTCGTTCTAGCTCTGTGATTTGGTAGAAGGTGGGTGAAATTGACAGACTATTGTCGGCTAGGTTGTAAATATTATTGTAATACTCGAGACCAGAGACAAGATCGACGTGCAGCGTCTGTTTCACGCTTGGAGTAGGGGGGGGGGGGGGCAGATCTGACAAGAAACCCATTTTCAGCATGGCTGCGCACCCTTCAGCGGCACTGCCACTGCTTCTAATCTAAGTTCTAGACACTGTGTCCGTGGCTCCATACTGGACCATAGGCATAGTGCCCTAGCTAGCCAGATGTCCAGCCTCGGTTGTCACACGGGATATGACAGCTTAGGCAAGTTAGTTAGGGGTTTCGTGGGAGCTGCTCAGCTGGTAGAAGGAGATTGTACCCACTACACGCCGCTAGTAAAGGGCGCAGCACATAACGCATTGATATATTGTGCTGAGTGGTAGCTCTCTGGCGGTTTATAGTGCCCCTTTCCCTTTCGTTCTCGTCTGCACCGCGCCGTGCCTTGTGAAAATAATCGTGCCGCCCTTGCAGTTCAGTTGACCGTTGTCGTGATGGACGGCAGCGGAGCGGCTTTGTCAATGCCGCATGGCAAAGCGTCCTGCTGATGAGAACGTAAAGATTTTTAAAGGCTGAACCTATTGCCCATATTCTACCCACTAGTTTGGACATATTCGATCATGATCGCGCCAATGAGATGGTGCAGACGCCGTTACGCCACGTTGATAAACACCACACAGTTCTTGTGCCAGTTGTGGATCTACACTACAGACAGTACAGTTTCTGTTTGCCATGGCATAGCTGCGCATGTTGCGGGTGCAAGTGTCAGGCGTCATCTACTAGTAGACCCAGGTGCTCGAAGTCCGTACACTTTTACAGTGTGTGTTTGCCGAGCTGAAACTCACACTAGCAATGATCACTTGCCAGAATCCTGCTCGTGGATGGAAGGTATCTTGTCCAAGTTTGTTCTGAGGCCAGGCTCGATTGAACCAGGCCATCTTTCGATCCAATCTGTTTCTCTGAAGTTCGCTGATTTTTCATATCAAATTTTTGTGTCGCAGAGGGTACTCTAAGTCCGTACTGATCAGAGGTGACTCGAAATACACACATGTTTCTGCTAATTGCTAACTTGCAATCCCTCGGTTACGAAGAAAGCACCGAAGGGATATGTTTGGCATGTGCCTCCACCAGTATTTCTTGCAAAAGCGTAGTTTGTTGCCGAAATGCAAGCTGTTTTTAGTCGGCTCAGAGAAGAAGCAGCTGGGCTGTGAAAACCGCGGGAAAACAGTGGTGGAGATGCCAGGAGTGTCAACCTTTCTGCAAGGATTGGTGGTTCTCTGTAAATTCTTCTCCTCTGGCCATTGTCAGGTCTAAGCTGGCTCTTGATGATTGAGTGAAGGTCTGTTTGACGCTGTGTCCGTTCGAAATCGGTCTTGGCAAAGTTGATTTTTGCATGAAATGTAACCCAATTTGTATTTCGTATGGACACTCGAAAACCCACTCGCGTGGTATGGGACTTCTGCTTATCGTAGATCCCTGAAAATTGCTACGCGAGGAGAACATACCACACTGTCCCCTCCATAAAATATTTGAGTCCAATACAATAACAGAACATGAAATTATGGGCGTACGAACTTAGGATACCATGTACGGACTTCGAGCACCTGGGTCTACTACTACTACTAGTGTAACAAGAGCTAGCTAGATGGGTTATGGACTCTTGGTAGTAGCCACTGAGCACAGTCTGTGTACTGTATTATAATGACTGTGGTATCGTACAAATCTACATGTGCCAGTACTTCGGCAGTAGTCGTCTATTCGCAGCACCACAGTCATGCAGAGTGAACGGCACACGATACATCCATGTGATCCTGGTTCTAACGCCGTCAGCGTAGATCTACGTGTAAACAGGAGCATAATAATGTTGCACAATTCTATCTTTCTGAACGGGTCGGTGAACACAGCCAATGGTGCGCTCTCAAAGTAAGAAAATCAGCAGTCCATGATTGTACACAGGTGCCTTCGGATAAACATGGTGACTTCACTGACTTCACTGACTTCACTCGATTCTCCTGAAAGATGATATGATGCAAATCATGACATACATGGCCATTTGCGAATGAGCTCAGTGGCACCGGAGACAATTAGAGTCCTTGTTCTGATTTATCTGTACATGCATACGAGCACTGCACTACAAGTGTGTGTGTGGGGGGGGGGGGGGGGCGGGGGATGTGGGGGTAGGGACTTCGGAGGTGGTGGTGGGGGGGGGGGGGGGAGGAGGAGGAGGCGGGCAGAGTGGGCAGAGTGGGCAGAGTGCAGGTGAAATATGCCTACTACACTTACATGTACATGTACTTCTCTTCCGTACACGTCACGTGTGACTTCTCACCTGACTGTATCGCCAGTTTCGCCACTATTGAGTATTATCATGATCATGACTGTAGTGTGAGCTTAGATGGTAGGGAGTACGGAGTACTGAGTACTGTACCTTTATGAACCTCCCCTTTGCCTTGCTGTAACTTAGTGTAAGCCCTTGCAACGCAGTGTTCTCAGTTACTAGTACATGTACCACTATTAATAGTATTATGTACATGTAGGTGTATAATAGCAGCAACATACATTTACGTGATTGTACACACAAGGCCGGTCTAGGCAGCTCGAGGTAGAGTGCTCAATGCACAAAATGTGCAAAGCAGTATACACCCACAACAGAGGCGAAAGGCCGTACTGTGATACAGTGACAGAAACATTATCGAAGTGATAGAGGGCTGAGTCAGGCAGATGTGCAGTGCAGTAACTGGTGAATTTGGGTAGTAGATCTACTTTGTAGCTCCCTGCATGCCATGCTCTTCAGCCTCTTGAACCAACAATGTAGAATCCTAAAACCATGGGCTTAGATTTCGGAGCACATGCCGGGCACACCAACATCACCACGGATACCCGAGTTGCAGTCAACGGGGATTTTTGATCCTTATGTCATGACCGGTAAAGATCTAAAATATGCATTGCTCCGAAGTTTGTTGCAGCAGTATTATAATAACGAGGAGCGTAATACCGAAATAGATCTACCCCATATATCATGTCCTCGGCGTTGTCTGTTTTCACCATGTTCTGAACTTCACAACTTAAAAGAGTGTTTGCTGAATCAGTGAATGAGGAATTGCCGGTAACATGGTTATCTGGCGACACAGCACCATCACCAGAATCAGTTCACCCATGACGGTCCTCAAAAGGCTCAGCGGGATCGATTGCAGAAGGCAAGGCTCTCTGAGGCTCTTGTCTTCATTGATGATTATTATGCAAAGTACCCGCACGAGACGTTGAGGAGTTGTCTTTGAGGAATGCAGCCATGATTTTTAGGATTGCCAACGCCGTGAGCGAATCCCAAACACCTAATCAACGGAAGCTTTCCAGCACCAACACTCAACAGTTGAACTCAAAAACACAACTATCCGACGTAACGCACTCCAGTAGCTATGCATGTGTGTTAGTGTTGGCCCAGCCTGGCTTGCCCTGCGTGAGCGTAGGGGTTTCAAAGTACATTATGTATTGTACTGATGTAGTTAGCTTGATTGCTCTCGTAGGATTTGCATTTCGTGATTGGAGGTACTGTAGGTGTCTTCGTTTGTCCCTCAATCAGAGCTGATCTATGGCCCTGAGACCGAGTGCATCTACTCTACACCTGTATTCGTAGATCTACGACTCAGTACGAGAGCTTGGGTGTCTCTGAGATAATGATTGGTCAGCGTCGGACTCGGTGTCAAGCTGATGCAAGCTCGCCCACCAGTTTCCTTCGTGGTTCCGTCAACTGTGTTGGAGAGTTACTCAGTAGATCTACTGATTTTGCCTGTTTAGTGTTGGCCAGCTTCTACAAAACAAGGAATGTGCAGCACATCTCATGCCGTGATTGTGCGAGATCCTGCACTGGCCACTGCGTTGACATGCGCCTGGGTCACAGAGCGGGTTCAAAGTTCATGAACACAATAATAGAAAAGCTGACAGGATCGCTTTTCTAGCCCGACAAATCGAAAGCGACAGTGCGGGTCCTGCATCTCGATCTCGGGTTGGGCACCGAATCCGTCGAGCTTGTTCGTGCCCCTGGTCATCAGCAATCGCCTTGTAGTGATTTACACTACAGTAGATATACGAGACAACTAACTTCGTCAAGTAACGCAACCATTAGTCATTACCCAAGTGATTGCCTTCGGGTCGGTCTAACGTTACCATTATTGCGTTGGCAAGGTGTGACGGTGAGAAAGAGCACTTCATTGTCGCCGAAGGCGATAGCGTGGACATCGCACGGTGCTTGTCGTTTCCAGGTTTGATGATTGTTCAAGTTGAGTACAAGCCGTACTGAGTGGCACATGGTGCCAAAAGGGCACGCAACGTTGGCGAGTGACCCAGTCGTTTCTGACCTTTCTCGGTGTTGTTGCCAACAGCCACGGGGCAGTATGCTCAAGAATTGCTCTGGAATGGAGCATTTTTACTTCAGAGATGAATTGGATACTTTATACATGCTCGCTCGACAAGAGCTGCATATCAGCGGTGTCTCGTTTGTACTGCAATGGTCATATTCGATGATGGTGGTCCTTTGCCCCAGGATGCGAGCGCCTGAGGCTGCGCTTCATTGTGGGACGCACGGGCACACGCCCCTGTGTGTTATCTGTGGCATGTGGCAGATGCTAGTTACTGTTAGCCCTTGTTTTGTCAACTTTTGAGAGGTTCTACGTGTTTGGCATGTAGGAAGCAGGGAGTCGTTTATGACTCCCTGGTAGGAAGTATTGGCTCAAGTCTTGTACTTTTGTAGATGTTGATCTCAACTCTTACAAGACAAAATGCTGAGTTTGTTACAATGTACGAACAGGAAAAGAGGTTACCCGCGCTGTCTTTGGAGTTTCTTCTTCTTTACGGTAATTACCGGCCTCTGGCACGTTTATGATTCCGGTATGTCTGTGTATCTATCTATCTCCGACTCCTAGGTATTATCATCGCTTGGAAACGAACGGCGGACGCATGACGAGCGACAAATGGGTCATTTTCCTCGATGGTAAGCTGCGATCACGGAACAGCATGGGCCATAGCTGAGTTGGGGGACTTTGTTCTCGACTACTACAATTAGGAAAGAGAGTAACACTAACGTCAACGTCATCATGACAGGATAGATAACAATAGGATTGTTGCATGTGTGTTGTTACTCCCTCCATGACAACCTGACAGCGGTGCTTGACAGCAATCATGTAACAGTCGAGAGAGTGAGAGAGACCAAAACCAAGCATACACCAGCCTAGTTGGAGTACTATGAACATCAGGATAACTACATGTATATCATACATGTACATGTATGTGTGCGTCCCCTTCTGTATGCACTTGACGATGGCAGAAGGGATGGGGGTGAAAACATTACCGCTGCATCCAGTCCTCTTAGCTCGGCAAACCAGCTTGTATGGACGAAACCGGAAGGGCTTGTCTGGACCTAAGGTCGAACAAGCCCATTCATTCTTTGCACTATGTAGTAGAAAGGCCACCAGCGGTAAATCTCACCCTTACTTCTCAATAATAAACCCACCAAAATAATGTCCCTTGACTCTTGATGTGACCGAGCACATCTTTTTTTGGGAAACAGTTGCCCAAACTGATGGAGCCCGCTAGACCAAGAGCAAGTTGCGATGGTGCAGAACCAGTACTGGCAGTAGCGTACTCCTCCCTGGATGGAACACTGTAACTGTATTCCTGTTACCCATATGCCTGAAACAACACGTACTTCTTGTTCTCTGCGATGCGTGCACTGATTTTTACACTGACCTGTTGTTTGGCACTCCATACCAGGTGGACAGTATTGTGCCGCGGATGCAAGTTGCGCACACCGCTATAGCACTGTGGCAGGCAAGATGTCCATGAGCTCACAGAACTGGCCGCTAGAAAAGGACTTTGGTAAGTCTGGAGCTACCCATATAATACATTGATGCTTTTTTCAACATTCCATAAAAGTAGGGAGTGAAGGATGTGTGTCTCGTGTCATTAATTTGGGGAGTCCTGCAGTGATATTATTAAATTTTGTCAAAATGAGTCCTGCTCATTGTGGGGGTCTATGTTCTGGTGACTAATTGACACTGTCTCCATCAATCAGAGGAGGTCAGAGTGTGCAAAGCGGACTGACCAGTGCTAGCCCACTAGTGGGGGTTGTCCATCACTGCACCTGGCCTATGACTGCATCACAGTGTGCAGTGTGCAGTATCCCATACTACTGCAGGGTACTACTTGCCTTGAGTCCACTCCTGGACACGCATGCACAGTGGACCATCCACAAACAATGCACACGCATGCACAAGTGTTGGTGCATGTATAGTGTGTTGTCACTTACAATGATGTCTGGTCACAGTCTATCCACCACATCCACCACACAGCTCCAAACTAATCACAACACATTTTGACTACATTGGAATACATGATGTCATCTGAAAGCATCTTATTGACTTCTTCTCAGTCTGATTGTGCCAGGCTAGTAATACCCAGGAACTCGTGATTGACTTGATCATGAGGGGTACTTGCAGCCTGGAAAGCATAGCACATTCCTTTCTCTTGGAGGTGGCTACAAATTGTAGGCTGAGGTCATGTTGGCGAACGGTCCGGGGTGAGCAAATGAATGTGGCATGTGATGAAGGCCTCGCTTAATTAACATTACACTTTAAATCAACTACATGCACTCTACTGTTCATTCTGGTTTCTGGTCTCTCTCTCTCTCTCTCTCTCTCTCTCTCCCTCCCCCCCCCTCTCTCTCCTCTCTCTCCTCTCTCTCCTCTCTCTCTCTCTCTCTCTCTCTCTCTCTCTCTCTCTCTCTCTTTCTCTTTCTCTCTCTATCTCTATCTATCTATCTATCTATCTATGTATCTATCTCTCTCTCTCTCTCTCTCTCTCTCTCTCTCTCTCTCTCTCTCTCTCTCTCTCTCTCTCTCTCTCTCTCTCTCTCTCTCTCGCATCTTCACATATTCCTCTCTTTTTCCCCTTCTTGCTCTGTGTATCTGCACAGATGGCTTCGGTCTCCTATCCAGCCAAGTCAGCTCAAACCCACACCTGGCAAACGCAAACAAAATGTAAGCCCGTTCACAACCCTGCTACATTGCTGTTTAGCTCCACACTCCGCAAAACGGACGATGAAAATGATATTGCATGTGGCCTCCACCCCTTTGTTATCATCATCGCTGTTATGCATAGCAATGTACTCACAGACACAAACTGATTTCATCTCAACTGAAATGGCAATGAATGCAGCGAATCATGAACAAAATGACACTCCTATGAGAGAAGCTCGCGAACTGCAGCCATATTCGAACCAGCAAATTATCATGGCACTACCTGTTTGCACCCAGTATGTCAAAAATGCAGCTAAAAGAAACAGTGTGTAGATCCTGAAATAATCAGTCTTGTAAGCCACGTATTGGCACAGTGTCAGTGATCGCTGAACACAGCTTTGAATATGCTCTACTTTTCCCGGTGTCACACAATATTGATTCTTTTCTACAAGCACACAGTAACGTTATTTGATATGTGTGTGTATGTATGTGTGTGTCTGTATGTGTGTGTCTGTGTGTGTGTGTGTGTGTGTGTGTGTTGCTCCCTCTGCCGTGCAGCTATGTGCCCTACTGTTCTAGTGACGTGTGGAGTGGTGACATGTCCGCTGATGATGTTAACGCAACTGGCACACTTGGCTCTGGAACACGTACGTACACACACTGCCTGCCCAGCACACGATGACCATGTGCCAAGTACGGGCCAGAGTGATAAGAAATGATTCAGGAACGTGTGTGCAAATTCAGTTCTAGAAAACCACAAACACTGAAATGCTAGAGGCCAATCGCAGGTATGGGTGTGGGATAGCTCCCCGCTGATTTAACATAATGAAATCATGCGAGATGCTACTGAGCACGGTGGTTGCTCTGCCACACCCATGCCTGATCAATAGCAGACCCTTTCACGAATATTTTCTCAAGAAATGCTATTGCACATGACATACGTGTGCCATTGATAAAATCCCTATAGCTTGTCTTACATTCCTAGATGGCACTGAATACTACCTTTAGGGTAATCTTGCACTTGAGGGTAATCTTGCCTCCAAAGAAAGGGTTCCCCATTCTGATACTTGGGTAATCTTGCCTCCAAAGAAAGGGTTCCCCATTCTGATACTTGGGTAATCTTGCCTCCAAAGAAAGGGTTCCCCATTCTGATACTTGGGTAATCTTGCCTCCAAAGAAAGGGTTCCCCATTCTGATACTTAGGTAATCTTGCCTCCAAAGAAAGGGTTCCCCATTCTGATACTTAGGTAATCTTGCCTCCAAAGAAAGGGTTCCCCATTCTGATACTTAGGTAATCTTGCCTCCAAAGAAAGGGTTCCCCATTCTGATACTTAGGTAATCTTGCCTCCAAAGAAAGGGTTCCCCATTCTGATACTTAGGTAGTCTTGCCTCCACAGAAAATGCTCCCTATTTGGATACTTAGGGTAGATGTTACCACATGTGTCATAATGTGCCGGGCATTACAATGTCAGCTAAGAATATTGGCGCACTGATCTCCAGATAGCAGATGCCAAAACATCCAGCAAAGCATGACTCAGTGTCAAGCAATCAGTTGCCAGGCCACCTGAGCATGCAGCTTGCTCACTCCTCTAGTATGAATCACTCCTGCCCCCCCCCCCCTAGATCTCCATCTAGCCCGGGCCAAGCAACCTCTGCCCTCCCTGCTAGTAGTATACTATTGTGAGGAGGTTTTCAGTACACCCAACTCGCAACACACAAACAGTCCTTGGCTACACCACGCACAGTAAATTGTCCAAATTTTCACCCAGGAGGGCATCATCAGGGATATAGTGAGGAGGTTCACACTTTTTAAAATTTCTTGTCCATCCTAACAGCATATTCTATAAGAGCAGGAATGAGTACGGGCATGAGCCTCTGCCAATGCGACCATTATCTGCATTTCCCTGATTCTATTCTGCAGTGAGCGTGTCCAACCTGGTGTTCATGGGATCCAAGATTATCCGGGCTGTCATAGCCGATCTCGTGCAGAGGCAGAGTCTCGCACAGGCTAGCTACGTGGCGCTGGCAGGACACAGGTATGAACATCGTGTCACAGGCTTAATAACAGCTGTTTCACCGTCCAAGTCTTTCCTGATGTTCTAATCTAGTATATGGTTCAGCTTTGCAAATGTTCACACTTCTATCCCTGATGCGGCAACAGCTGTGATGGCTGCCACAGCACTGCTTTTGGCAATACGACCGAATTCCTCGTTTAACTGGCGAATGTTGCCGTTGTCTTCTGTTTATTCTCCAGTGCTGGTGGGCTAGGAGTCGGTCTTCACCTGGACTACCTGCGCAACAAGTTGCAATTGACGGAATCAGGCCAGCGCAAAACGCAGCCCATTGTGCAGGGCCTGTCTGCCGCTGCATGGTACGTGCCATACACCTATTGCCGGGACAACGGTCTACCCAGCAGCAAGTGCTTGCCACCTGATGCTACGTTTGAGATCCGACTGGGAGCCAAGAGGTAAGCAACCCACTACCACGGCAACCAGTGCCGGGCCTTTCAATGCTGCCAATGTACACTGACTAAAGAGAAACTGGCAGTTTGGCAAAAGCTTGATTATCATTCATCAGTATCATTCTGAAGAAGACAAAAGTCAAAAATGTATTATCAGTATCAATCAGTCTAGTCTCGATCCCCTTGTGTAGTCCGCCTATCCACCATTGCATTTGAGGAGAAAGGCAGAACGGCGCTCCATTCTGGTACATTGCACCTAGAAATATTCATGCATGGAAGTATACGGTGTGCTTTTTAAGCCACTCATACGCACCGTCAACATATTTTTAATATTTGTGCAGAGAACGACTGCCTCTTGTATCCTGATATGCATTCGTTGGATTACCATAGCTGCTATAGTACTGAGCTAGTCGTGAATCAGTGGAGCTGTGGCAACTGGTTGGCTTTCCGTGGACCAGCAACCCTCCGTGATACAGCGATGACGACAACACCCCGCACCTCTCAGTCCTGTTGATTTCAGGTGACAGTGAAAAATATGGAATGAAGAAATCGCTCCCAATTCACGCGCATGGCTTGTTAGCGATGGGCCAATTGCTAGTCAACTCACAATCGTACCCGGTTCTGGACTACATAATTGTTTTGGTTGTTCTCATAATTGTTGTTCCTGTTGCTACTGCTGTTGCTGGTGTCGCTGCTGCTGGCTGGTCTCTACATGTATTTCCCATGCTCAGGGTTTGGCAATCAAGCTACCCACCTGCCTGCCTAGCCCAAAAGAGACATGACCCTTTCCAGTGCCTCTTCCCAGTCATCTCACGGCCCTATATGCAAGGTGAGACTCGTACATGCCAAACACGCGTACAAGTTACATGCAGGGGAGGCAGTCAGATCCACTCTCTGCACATAGTGGTACTTGCAGGGGAGGCAGTCAGATCCACTCTCTGCACATAGTGGTACTTGCAGGGGGTAAGTGCTGATGTACATCTAGCAGCAGTTATCAGGCAGCCACGGTTGCGTCTCCACTGATGCAGAAGACATGACTTTGAACTGGATACCAAATGGAGCCACGAGCATAAATGACGTCAGCATTGGGACCGGATTATTTGGCTGGTAGCAACGATCACCATTTCGGAAATTGGAGAAGCGAAAGGCAGTGGAATTCAAAAACAATTCAAAAAGGTGGCTTTAAAATATGTGTGTGTGTGTGTGTGTTTGTGTGTGCATGCACACGTGTGTGGTACGATGGAGGGTACTGATCTGAACAAAACCGTCTGCCCTGTTGTCCTATTGCAGGTGATATGATCTTCCTACAATGGATGTATGACCAGGCTGTAGCTGAGCTGATCCGTTCCTCCGCGCAACACCTGTTCCAGATGTCCACTGGCGTTGCAAATTCACTCAAGGAGACGAGCCGCACTATCACCGCTCCTTTGTCGTAAGTGTTTATGTCCGGCCGCACGGTCTAGCAATAACCTCGGTGTAAAATCAGTGGCAAGTCCTCCGCCCTACTCCTTTTGAAACTACCTGCGGAGTTAGGGCCCTCAGACCATGGTAGAAGGTAACACTGGCAGTATAGACCCCTCAGACCATGGTAGATGGTAACACTGGGAGTATAGACCCCTCAGACCGTGGTCGAGGGTAATACTGGGAGTAGAGACAGCACCTGCATGTAGGTTGCAGTGTCTGCTCTAGGATTTCAAACCAACCAGGTACACGTGTACCCGGCACAACTCTTGCAACCGGGTCAGTCCCGGGTACATTCAAGTGCGGGTATTGTACATCAGAGAATCGTAGGACTCCCTAATTGAGTCCCAACCGGGTCACAAGTGACCCCGGTGTTCTTTTCCAAGCGGGTACAAGTACCCCCAATCAGGTCGCTGACCCGGCCCTGGAGCAGACACTGGGTTGGCATGTACTTTTATTTTGAAATGGCAATGGCTGATTTCCATTACATGTACATGTACCTCTGTCCTGCATTCCTACCTACAGGGTATCAATCGTTCCAGTCTGTGTCGGCCACTTTGGATTTGCTGATTCGTAAGTATATCACCAAGAAATTTAAAATGCGCATACAATGAAAACACCATGGGGGGGGGGGGGGAGTCAAATGGTCACTTGCATGGCTGTGTTGAACACAACTCCCCAGATCCCCCTGCTGCAACTGCAGCAAATATGAGAAGCAGCTGCTGTACCTGAATAGAATACAACAGAAGAGTCACGCGCTGAAGAACGTGGAGCCCAAGAACGTCCAGCCTGAAATTCTAAGAATGCCACAGCCTCAAGTTAAGAACGGCAGTGTTAGTTTTCTGGTAGCTTTTGAAATACATATGATTCAGTATGAATTGTTTCTAAGAACACAGCCAGATTGCTGAAAAATAAGAACGCCCCGAGCTAACTCCTTGGAACTCCTTGGAAACAACGTTCTTGGGCGAGCGACTCTACAATAGTAGCCATGTCCAGCTTCAATGATGCAAGTCCTGGGACTACTGCGGGTAGTGCCTGCTCACTGCTGCTGCTGCTGCTGCTGCTGCTGGTTTAGTCATCATCATCATCATCTGGATCTATCAGGATGAGTGTTGCAGTGCAATGTCATAGAGCACTCCATCCCTAGGGTTAACCCTCCATTTAATCCATCTCTAACACCGAAGTCCTTTGTGTTTCGCCTGGGAAGAAAGGCTACATGCACCCTATGGGCTAACGATGCCGAACTGTACAACTGTCTACATTGCATACTGCAGAAACTGCTACTTGCAAGTTTGGTACGACATGTACTTTAGTATCCACACTACTTGACCTCGTGTCAACGTTGAGGGTTAGTCAGTATGGCGGTGTACATCGCATCTGCACCGTGTGGTGCAAAGTGACTGACATTGGATGTGTGTTCACATGTGTGTGTGTGTGTGTGTGTGTGTGTGTGTGTGTGTGTGTGTGTGTGTGTGTGTGTGTGTGTGTGTGTGTGTGTGTGTGTGTGTGTGTGTGTGTGTGTGTGTTGACAGGGATGTGTGGACTGGACTGAAGGTCAAGAATGGCAACTGCACCGTAGCACAGATAGTTCAGAGTGCCTACCTCTTCAGCAAGACAGGCTCGCGCAAGGCCAGCCAGGTTGAAGGCTGCCGGTTCCGGCGTCACTACGGCAACACGTGCACCAATCCTCTCCGAGCAAACCCCACTTGCCCAGGCATGCGCAGAGATGATAGCAAAAGCCACAGCCACAGTTTGCAGATCGCTAGCTTGCCACAGGTGATCAGCAACCGTAACTGCGGGGCCGCGCTCCCCGGCGATGCAAACCCGAGTTCGGAGGATTGGCCGGGCTCGGAGGATTGGCTGAACGGCATACACCCGTAGCCTTGATCTCAACTATACAGTATGTGTGGCATGTGTACACTGTACACCTCACTGCACAACCAGTAGCCTCAACTCCAATCTCGTGGGTGAGATGCTCACAGAACCACTACAGGTAGACACCCTCCCTGGAATCTATAGATGTCAATATCAATATTATTTAAACCCATTATTATGACCACAGCTTAGGGGCCATCCGGCATTATCGATAATTTTCACGAAACAATAAAAGTTTAGTTGGGACCCTCCCCCACCCACCCACCGTCCTGAACGAATAATAGATTGACTTGACAGCTAGAATGCATTGATGTCTCACATATCAATGTTTTTCAAAACGAAACTCTCCTTGATCCACCCACCTATAAACTTTTTTTCTTTTCGTGTAAAAGATCGATAATTATGGATGGTCCCTTATGTCACCCCTGCCTTTATGATACATATGCCACATACACAATAGTATTTTTCTACATCCTATTGATTCTACTTCGAATTGAAATTATTATTGTACTTCGATTCTATGAAATGTGGTGCACTACTGATTGGTACCAGCACCTACACGCACACACACGCACACACACACACACGCACACACACACACACACACACACACACACACACACACACACACACACACACACACACACACACACACACACACACACACACACCGTGTACAATATTATTACCTTGAGTGGCTTGAGAACACAGTACATACCTACCTCTTCTTTTAAAATTCTTTTACGCATCTTGGTTTCTCACTACAAAATAATCCATATACTGTTAAAAAAAGTCTCTTTCTCATTCTTCTTTGTTGCATACTGTATACAACTGAGAGTGCATGAAAGTAGGCCATATCCGCACAATGGTCAGCGTACACGTGTGTTCGTTTGTGCCAGAGAGTGCTTGTAGTACAACAGGCATTGTAGAACATGACATTGTATTGTTAACATAATCGACGTGGAGACAATAATGTTAATAAAGCTAATATGAACAGAATTAAGTACGCACTCATTACTCTGACAAACAAGGCAAGGCAGGTCAAAAGAGTTTCTTGTGACGATCATCAGTCGCAACTTTATTGACATTGTTTCATCTGAACTGTTTCACATTTTCTGCATTTATTGACATGCTCCTCTTGTATTCACCATTGTGATGTAATTCCAACTGATGATCATCACAAGAAAATGTTATTGGAAAACTCTTGACCTACATGTACCTCAAGGCCGATTCACAATACAACTTCTTGCGACGCGACATGCGACTTGCGACACATGCGACGAGCTGCGACAGCTACACACGGTTCACAATATTCTTCATGTTTGCGACATCCACATGCACAAGTAGTACTATGCCCGTGCACTGCACGTGCACCCAGGGTCGAAACTCACTGTATTCCATTTGTGTATGTGGCGTGTCGCAAAAAAACTAAAACGACATGAACAAAAACGAATAATTCAATGACAATAATTCTATCAGCGACAGTCCACAACAGTCGAAAAAATTACGACACGAAAACATCAAATTGCAGGGTCCAGATGAAATGGAAATAGTTCTCCCCCTGGCCCCCGCAACACAGCAACGCAAACTCTTGATTGTGTCTCAATTCATATATTATACCAACAAATGACGAGGGCGCAGGAGAAAGAAAAAAAAGACTAGACTGAAAACGACGACGGGAATAGACACCCGGGAAAAGACACGAAGAAAACAACAAAAGAACAAGCAGTAATAAAGCGACAACAAATCGGGACGACCAATCAGGGACTAATACGTACAGAACACATGACCAAGACCAAGACAACCAGACCACGTACGAATCACACATGACTCTCATTCCCAGACCAAACTAGCACTGCGCATGTACAGCATTCACTTGACAGTCACTTTCACACAGACGGAAGCAGATCCTCACACTCTGACACCGCATATTGACACTTTTGCATGCACCACATACCATAAACGTCACATATCACACCATACTCACGCGTACACTTAGATCATATATGACATTAGACACTGAACTCTACGAGACAAGAACAAAAATACAACAACGTGCGTAATTAATAGTCGAACAGAAATCCGCAACACAGAGTCTAAAGGTCAAAGGTCACCATAGTGAGTCCTCAAGCTGACTGAAACTGAAGGAACTAATGTGCAGCCGAAACACAAAATGAACAAACGCACATACACACACATACGCACTCAAGTATACACACACACACACGCACGTACACCCAGTACACGTAGAAATGCTACTATGCATGCACACACACACACACACACACACACACACACACACACACACACACACACACACACACACACACACACACACACACACACACACACACACACACACACACACACACACACACACACACACACACACTCCAAACAATATGCACAGACGGACTGCGTGCCACGAGGAAGCCATAGACCAGCACAAAGCTTTCTTCATCAGGACACAAATTTGTAATTCTCTCACCTCCTCATTCTTCACTATCACTATCTCCTTCAGCGTCGTACTCATCTTCTTCTTAGTCATCCTCCACTTCGTCGAACCAGCGAAACTGCTTATAGTGAACATTCAGATCATCTCTGGCCATGGCACTTAGAGCCTCACGCAGCCGTGGAGACACTAGAGCTCTTTCAGGCATCCACAGCTCCTTCAGAGATGAGCAGCTCTCGACAGCGGCGGCGAACAGCTTTGCTTCATCGTCAGCAGCATCTCGTAAATCGTTCCTCGCCACTCTCAGCAAGGAGAGCTTGGGCAGACTGGGCAGCAAGGACGCAAGCACCGTCAGAGCTCCCGATGAGAGGCAGTCGTCGTCCAGGTACAGGTTCTTTAGGCGTTGGCACTGACTCAGCTCACCACAAACGGTTTCCAGGAAGTCTCCAGTTAGCTCATTGCGCAGGAGATAGAAGGCCTTCAAACTCTCGTGTTGCTGTTGAATGATTCGACGGACAATCGTAGCGGAGTTCTGCTTCATCCCAACCTTGGCCAGCTGGAGCAATCTCAGCCTCAGTGCTCCTAACAATGGTGCTAGCTGGGTTAGACCTTCCATATCCAGTACATAGTCATAGAGACCGACGTGCTGGAGATCTGGGCAGCTGCTGCAGACCTTGGTGATGACATCAAGGTTGACTGCTGGATCGGTGCACTGCTGACCTCCAAGGTCCACTCCCCGCAGTCCCGTACAGCGGTGTGTGTTGCTGTGAACGGTGGCGATAGCATTGCTGCTGAAGATGTTCCAGGATGTGTAGACTTCTCGCAGTGTTGACGTGTTGGATGCGATACACGCTGCGATATGGGCCGTGTGATGATCTGTTAGGTTGTTCAGTCGCAGGTTGATGCACGTAAGATTGCGTAGTAGAGCCATGCCATCAGCCATGCATGCATAGCCCGTATCACCTATACCACAGTTGTACAGGCTGATGCTGGTAATGAACTGGTGGTGGTGAATCATGACTGCGTTGATGGCCTGGCAATCGGAGGGCGTGAGAGGAACGTCCGTGAAATCTACCCCGTACCTCTTGATGATGGCTTGCATGCTGGGGATGTCTTCGATGCTGCTTTGCTTGGCGTTGACGTGCTCGGCGAAGACCCGGAAGGCGTAGAGAATCCGTTGCTTTCGTTGCGCGGCACTGACGTTGTCCTGGGCTGCGGATGGCTGAGCTGCTTCGTCGGATGGAGGAACTGGAGGTAGCTTGGACGTGGGAGTGACGGTGAAGCATCGAATGGCCGATCCTTGTGCCTCGTTGGCCAGGCAGTCGTGCAGAATTTGTGTACTGGCACTCGGGACGCGATCTGTCCAAATGGCTAGCAATGAACGAACGAAATGCTGGCAGGTGACTTTGGTAACGGCTGGGTCAATCTTGCGGCGGACCACTTCCGAAGCAGACAGCAGGTCGATGCTGCCAGCCAGTAATTCCTCTGCAAGATGCTCTGCTTCGTCCAGCGAGAGAAAGGAGGAAACGTGGTCGGCCCATGCCATGATGTGGTCGTGTGTTGTGAAGAGAAAACACGTGACGTTGTGCCCCTCTGCACCTGTCGAATGCTGGTCGATATCCTGTGGCTGAGTAGATGGTGTGGACTGTGCATTGAGGACGGCTTCAATCAACACATTGACGGACTCACTGTCCAGCTGAGTGGCCAGTAAGCGCCAAAACATGTTGAGGCTGCCCATGAATGCTCCAAGGCACTGCACAAGCCAGGCAACGTCAGCTGCACTCGGACTGCGGCTAGCGAAGTAGCGAGATGCTAGAGCTTCCTGAAGTGCCAGGTGGCTGAAACGCCATTGCGAATGGGCCTGTGACAGTGACTTATCACAGGCAATGAGAAGACCAAGTAAACGAGCTGCCGATGATAGTGAAAACATGCTGAAATCAGCCTCCGTGAAGACGACCTTCCGCCGGATGAGCATGTGGAAAGCGAACTTGGCAAGATCAAGGAGGCTTTTCTGGATTTCATCAGGAACATTGCTCAACTTCTCGTATGGTTCAGTCTTCTTCAGGCCTTTCTCCGTCTTTGGTTGGATGACATTGAGTATCATGGAGTTGAAGATCTCGCCTAGCGTATCGGGTATGTTCCGCTCGTTGGAATAGAGCTGGCATATGCTGTTAGCGTAAAGTGGAGTGCGCATGATTGTAGCCAGTTGAGGATTTCTCTTCAGCTTGTCCAGGAGACTGCACGCTTTCTCATCTGAGAGTACCTTGTGGACATACTCCTCTAACTCCTTCTGCTCGAAACCCAAGAGCTCGACGCGCTGGTGGAATACAACCTCTGGGTTGTGGATGAGATTCATTGCCTCCGTGGAATGGCGTGACGTTATGATGAGGCGAACGCCAGGCAAGCGTTTTCCGGCGATGACATCCCGGACGTACGGGCTGCACTCGTCTAGTTTCGTTTCGTCCAAGCCATCGAGGATGATGCAGATTCTCTCTGGGTGGGCTTTCACGTATGCGCAGATCTCAGATTGATCAGTATCCGACGTGATGTCGTGACTCCTCAAGGCCAGAAGCTCAGCAGCACACGTAGCTTGGCGCACGGAAGGCAAGCGGAGTTCAAGGGCGAACACCAAAGCCATCTCTTTCCAAATGCGATCCAGAGCCCAGTCGTAAGGACCTTTTTTGGTAAACAGCAACGTCTTCCCCCCACCAGCGCAAGAGAGGGCAATGGTGCGGAACGTTTCCCTTCCTGAGGCTAGTCTCATGGACTTCTTGGCTTCCAGGATGTTGGCCAGCTTTATTTTGCGCAGCTTCTTTGCAGCTGAAGCAAGGGAGTGTGTGAACTGCTTGATACCAGCACTGCTGCCTATTTTGTCAGCATTCAGCTGCTGCATTCTTGCACTAAGCTCTTCAAGTGGGACAACATGCAAGTTTGCAAAGATCTCATCCATGTTCAAACTTCTCACCTCCTCTCTGCTGCTGTCCTCGACCAGAGTACGGACATTGGTGTAGATTGCAAATAGCGAATCACGCAGGTCTCTGACAGCCTTTGGCAGCTCATCCACCCAGCATGTTGGCTGTTCTGTTGTCTGAGGTCTGCCCTGGTTTGGTGATGGGCAAGATCTCTTCATGGTAGCCCACAGCTGCTTGAGCAGCCGCAGCTACAGTAGACGGTGACTTACTCTAAACTATCAGCAATAGACCTGAGTGTAAGGCAGGTGTACAGATAGTAATTTCTATAACAAGCACCGAACCAGCGCACACACACACGACCGTACAGCTATGGCTGGTGTGCACCATGTCACAAGTATCATACTCTTCTTCAGTCTTCTGCTAGGAGTGACCTGGTGACACTGTTGACTCCCAGTTGATAATATTCAAACTCTGAAAAACACACAGCAGTCTTGCTCTTGCTAGTACTAGTACTACAACAACACTAGTCACTACCCGTGACCATGGTGACCGTACTACTACAGCTGCTGGCCAGTACAGTGTACTAGCCACTATTCTACGGTATGAATGTGTGAGAGTAGTTTGTTTTTCCCTCGCTACTGTTTTACTGCAACACTCTACGGCACTATGTACGTAAGTGCATTGTGCGCACGTGTGTGTGTGTGTGTGTGTGTGTGTGTGTGTGTGTGTGTGTGTGTGTGTGTGTGTGTGTGTGTGTGTGTGTGTGTGTGTGGTGTGTGTGTGTGTGTCCCATCTTCAGAGCTAATGTCTTGGGCCATTGACAGTCTCTGGCGTCACAAAGGCGTCTCTCTTGTCATTTTCAGAATCCACCTGTCATGATTGACCAGCAGACATTAGACAGCTCAAACTCAGACTACACCTTACGCAGTAGTTCTTGTCTATAAGTATAAACAGTAGTCAGTACCATGAACAGCTGTACAGTACTGTCAGTAGCACAACCAGCCGCAGTGCTTCTAACACTGTTAACACATGATGTACATCAGTACCTGCACTCAGTGTCGTCACATGCATTCCAGTGCCAGGCACAGACTCAGTACTCTGTAATAGTAGTAGAGGTAACAACACTCCTACAGTATATCCATGTACAGTGTGTGCGTGCCTGCGTGGTTGCTTGAAAGATAATGATGGACTGTCACGTGACCCGCAGTCTGTTGCCAAGTGTGCTGCCAGTCCTGCAACTACTCATCGCAGAAAGTTGTATTGTGAATCGCCCTTCAGTCTTATTGTTAGGTTAGAACTTGTTGTTTGTCGGCAAGTACCAAAAAATTAAAAAATATCCCAGGGCAGGGTCAACCATCGCCCCTAAAATAAAGAGGGTCCGAACTAAGGTTCCGATGGTCGCAAGACCCGGACTCTGCCAACCGGTTTATGGTTGTACTGTTCGAGTGTGCGTACTCCACCTTTGTAACCAAAGCAAGGCTTCTATAATGCGTATACCAATAGGTATTGTACTACTCCCTGGTTATTGCGAGGTGCCATGAACACTAGTAGAAATCCTAAAGACAGAACTGATTATCAATACAGTGCTAGCGGACAGGTCTTTACTGCCTTAGCTGCCCATGAAGATTCAACTGTATCTGGTTTGAAGGCGTGAATGTCTGTACTTGCATACGTGTAGCCAGTAGAGTAACAACAGTACTACTCAGCACGCACGCGACCGGGCACATGCACACACAGAGCAGTAACTTATACTGACTGAGTGAGGATAGCAGCAAACCTGATACAAAACGGGCAAAAAGTCGCAACAGGAAAAGTCAAAAACGCTGCCCAAACTAAAAAAGTTTGTGAGAACCAGGGAGTCACACCCGAACTTTGATTTGGATACCACTCCTGATGACAACACATGCACAGACACACCAACACCCACCCACACATACACATGCACACACATGCAAGCAAGGACGCACCCACACTCACAAAGTAACAAACAGGTATGCCAGGGTATAATTATAATGTACATATTTCCAATCTATTCTGTTACCCAGAGGGAAAGAAGTAAAGGTAAAAACGAATATGGAAATTTGCTGACCAGACAAGATAATTGTTGCAAAAACGAATGTTTACAAATGTAAATGGTAACAGTAAACTAAACACACACGCACAGATGCAATGTTACACGCAGACCAGCCAGGCTATAATGTACACATTTCCAATTTATTCTGTTACCCAGAGGGGGGAAAGTAGAGGTAAAAATGAATATGGAAATTTCCTGACCAAAGAAGATGATTGTGGCACAAACGCAGGTTTCCAGAGTGCCGATAGTAACAACGAACTAGACGCTTGTAACACCTACTTGCAATCAGAAGCGAGCAGCCAAAAAAATGAAAACAACGATTTTTCATGACATTTCATGAAGAATATGAGAATTTAGATGTGTAGAGCATGCGAGAATTTGAACAAGATGTTTGCGAGGCCGCCAGAAGCCAGTACGTATTGCCAGAAAGGATGCTAGCGCTTGAAAGAGGACGTGTTCAGCATGTCCATGTTCTTTCCTAGAACACCAAGCCAGCATAGTTGTGTTCAGCCTCTGCCTCTTGCTGGTGTCGGATATGTACCAGGGTGTTCTGGAAATGCTTGTTGATTTGGTCAGCCACCTCACCACCTTCCAGTGATGGCAACTTCTCCTTGATCCTCTCAATGACCTGCTTAAGAATAGTGGTTGTTGCCTGCAGCGAACGGACACAGCCAAGAAAGCAGATGCTTACTAGTACATGCAGACCAGGAGGTACAGCCCATAAATGTTTATGTACCGTTCCGACTAGTGAAATTCAACCATGGGCACATTTACCATGCCCTGGGGCAAGCAGCCCTCGATGCCCTGCAGCTCTACAACCTAGCTCAGTTCAAATGTTCACTATGCAACTGGTGACACAGCTCTTGTAGAGTGAGCAATAGTTGGACTTCACTGTCCAGTGCTGTACATGATGAGAACTCTGTAGACCCGAAGCTAGAATGGGATGCTCTAGAAACGAAACGCTCTGTGTAGCTATCATGAGTCATAAAGAGATGTCTGGCAGGTCATCCCAGGACAGGTCTAGCCCTGGCAGTGAAACCTGGTCAGGTACGACAGCAGGCACAGTATTGTCAGTGAGTAGTGCACACATACAACATGCCATTGTCAGTATGATCACACTTCACTCACCTCATCGGCACCCTTCTCGTAGTAAAAGAGATAGCGGTTGAGCACTTCTACGTAGAGCTGCACCTCGGCAGATACGTCCATGCACTGTCCAGCAATACGCAATGACTTCTTGAGGCACTCCATTACACGCTTACCATCATGACACTACAAATACAAATACATGTACACACAACACAGTTCAATGGTGGAGTACTGAATAGAGAGAGAAAGAGAAAGAAAGAGAGAGAGAGAGAGAGAGAGAGAGAGAGAGAGAGAGAGAGAGAGGAGAGACAGAGAGAGAGAGAGAGGAGAGACAGAGAGAGAGAGACAGAGAGACAGAGAGTCTACTCATTGTCAAGCCTGTAGTTCACTTACCTCTTCCTCTGCCTCTCGTGTACGACTTGACCAGAAGAGATGTGAAGAGACGGACACAGCACGACACTGGTCAGGCTTCTTCATCAGCTTGCTACTGGCCAGAACAAGCTGTGTGCGCAGTGTATCATGGTTCTCATCACTAAAGCAGCGCATGCGTTCAAACGTGCCAACAAGCAGGGTGATAGCGGACAACTGCGCTCTAGACTCACTGATCTCATCTTCATACAGTGAGAAGGCCTACAGCATGCAGAGGATATGAGCAAGCACAAAACAACAATATTCGACAAATAATTGAACAAGAAGAGATTGGTTATTCAAAATAGCTTTATAGGTAGACTGGCCGATACACACAAGTGAACCACTCCATGTACTCGAATGTGCTGTGTAAACTGTAAAGTTTCTACCTTGTACAATAGCACCTCGATCAAACTGGGGGTCTTACATGCGTACTTCACGAGTAGGTGTCATCTGACTTTGTCGGCTCCAGTCAGTCAAGTGTTTCAGTTTGAATAGAATATTTACGTGCAACTCCCCATTGAGCTGTCTACAACACTAACTGCTGCCGCAGCCTACCTGACTGAAGAACTCGTATGCAACCGTCTCGCTCTGATCAAAGTTGATCTGATTCGCCGTCAGTGAACCCTGGATAAAGAGGCGAAGGGCCAGCTCGGACATATCTGCCTTGGCCAGTGCTGTAATCGTTTGATGCGCAAACTGGAAGATCTTTCCACACTTCTTACTCCATTTCTCATCCTGCAAGAACACCCATACGCGCAGACAGCCAGCACCCACACACACAAAGCAGCAGCAGCAGCACACCAGGTCAATATTACTTAACTAAGGAAGACACACGACATCACAGCGAAAAGCAACAATGAGCCCAGTGCCAAAAGACATGGTGATGGAGACAGGATAGAGAAGAGCAGCAAGACTCACCTCTTCGCGGATCTTGTAGTAGCAGAGAGATAGACGATAGGCAGCAAAGACGAGGGCAGGTAGAGTGAAGCGGATGCGATTCTCACCACCATTACCAAAATGTTTCCTTGCCGTTGTCAGGATCTGCATTATTATCACGGAGCAAAGACATGTTGACGGCAATGCATATTATAGTGTATGTCCTATTGCTAGGGCAGCACAAAGCACAACCAGTAATGTGATCAGGGTTGGTAGAGCGATATCATAGTGACCATACACAACAATACAAAGTCTTCTTGATGGCAACGATTGTGAGCAGGGTAGTTTCAGGAGATCACGTGCAGGTGTCTATACATAATGTGTGTGCGTGCGTGTGCGTGTGTGTGTGTGAGTGCGTGCGCGTGTGTGTAAGTAAATTATAAGCGTGTGTGCGCGCACATGCCTACTTCTTGCTTGTGTGCAGTACAAGTGGTGCTGTAGCAGTACATGTATATAATTAGTTACTCACCAGGTACTGATCGTCAGCCCCATCAGCTTGGAAAAGATTCACAATACGACCCATCAAGCCTTGTTCCTCAACAAAATCTTCTGGATCATCCTGGGGAAATAAAGGAGTACAATATTTTAGTTTTCCAATGAACACATGGACAGTCGTAGTGAGGGCATATTTTACAACAATAACACCACTTTGCACACAACCAAAGGAAAATAGAACAGGCAGATACAATAGGCAATAACACATGCTTACTGGCTCTTCAGGCTGATCAGCCTGGTCCACAACTAGTGGTGCAACCATCTGCAGCAGGCAGTCAACTTGCGTCTGCGTCTTCAGCTGCGTTGCATGGTCGATCAGACTATTGATGACATACACGGAGATGTCCTTCCGTGCATCGTATGCAAAGTACTCAAAGAGTGGTGCAAAGTGCTGCAGCTTGAGAACGGTGATGACATCCTTGTAGTTATCAACTGGAATCTTCAGCAAGCGCAATAGTTCACGAGACACTGCACCGTCAACCCTACAGAAGAGCAAACGTCCAATGCACACATTCAACACATATTCTCGGTTTCCGCGAGACCCAGTCAGACGGGGTTCTCCGCATCCGTAGGAACGCCACCGCCCTCAATGATCACACATTCCATACGAACACGTGGAAATAGAATATATGACAAGCCAGGAGAGAACACAGTAGAATGGTGTGTCCCACAATAGTGTTGCCGTACACACACACACACACGCACACACACACAAACACACACACCTGCACGCTACGAAACACCAGGTATAATGCATCGAACATACTTTTCTTGCTTGAGGCGAGATGAGAAGATGCCAATTGTTGACTTCAAAACCTTGTCAACATAGTCGATTCTCTCACGATAGCACTTCAGTGCCAAGTTGATGAGTGATACTTGTAGTGCAATAACATCCTCAGATGCCAGATCATCACGAACCTGAACAAGCAAAACAATGATGCATAAACCAGGGCGAAACATTAACGGAATATATTCTACACAATACACAATGACATAACAACAACACAATATACAGGGCAAATCAGTACAACACATAATTGTATGCACATTCATAACGTCCCAATTCCATGCAGTTCGGAACTTTGTTATAATAAAATGCCCAATACAAAGCATGACATATCACAATAGCCAACGCAGCCAGCCAGCCAGCACACACATGCGCCCGCACGCACGGAGATGTTCCATACCTGGATAATGGACGCAACCTGATCAGAGAAGATATCGAACAGTGGCACGTCATCCGGAATGCCGCTAGTCTCGTCTCGGTTTGCAAACGATGCCAATCGATCGATGAGTGCAATGATAATGTTCTTGACATTGACACTCTTATGCAGGTCACCAACTGTCTTCAAGAAAGTGCTCAGTGTGGCCAAGTGAAACTCATCCGGAAAGACCTGCACGTAGATATCAACAGCAGTCAGTCACACAATGACACTATCAGACATAACTGTTATGTACTACATGTACATGTACACTGCCTGTATCTGGTACACCAGTACAGCATGTACACTGCCTGTACCCGGAATACCAGTACAGCATGTACACTGCCTGTATCTGGTACACCAGTACAGCACACAGAACGGTGTCTAGTAATGACACGAACAAGCAACACAAAGAAGGCACTGATCTGGGGCAGTATTCGTATTCATACTCGCAATCTGCCATATGCCAGTGAAATGAGGCATGCGCAAAACAATCAGAGGTCTAGGGTAGTGTCCATGAAGCATACCGGTAATCCCCATCAGATACAAAACTCTCAACTGCTACAGCTGACCTACAGTAACAGATCAGTCAGTGATGTGCTGTGCTGTGTTACCTGAATGACGCATTCCATCAGATACTCCTGGGCAATAGCATCACGGCAGCTCACAACCTGCTCCAGGATACTCTTCAGCACAACCTAGAGGATGACCAGTACAAAAACACATAACAGCAACAACACAAAGGGAATTCTTACACATACAGAGAAGAGCAAAGAAAACTGGTATGACTATGTGACTCTGGAGTTTAACGCACAAAGCAATCACCAGACCTGCCATGTATCCACCGTGTGACTACAGTGCTGAGTGCTGTACTCATGTGGGAACGTGTGCCAAACATAACAGTAACTAGTATTACATACTAGCAACATCTCAACAGCAGAGACTACTGTAGCCCTACAGACACAGTGTGTGCTATGACATGTCGACAATGAGCAGGCACCTGCACTAACCTGCACTAACCTGCAGTAACCAGGCCGAGAGAAACACTATGGAGCGCATGTACAGTACTACAAAAGAGCAATACGCTTTCACGATGACAGCGTGAACAAGGTGAGGACCCGCTGTACGGGAAACAGTGCATGTTATCAGGCAAGGCTTGCATATACTAAGGGACCAATACGTAGTTGCACAATGTAGAATGTACCTTGGAGTATAGGTTGACATCGATGCTGTCCAGCTGGCTGAGGCGGACAAGATTGGTACCAACAAGAATACGCAGCTCCTGTCTCTCACGTTCTCTCTTGTCGCGCTCCCGTGAGTGGCCCTGGTGCTGCATACGCACCCACAGTTTGTTCATCTCGCTGAAGTTAAGCAGGATGAAATCTAGTGAATCTCGTACGTCACCGTCCTCTGGCCTGTGCACCAAAAACAAAGCAAATGAAAGCCGCTTTACAACCTACCAGCATCTACGGTGATGTGAACTAACACATGCATGCAGCAGTGCAGTACAGTGCTACACGCTACGCGTGTAGAAGAAACTGTGGTCGAAAGTATAGCAGCTATTAAATGGTCAACAAGAGCCTCAAAACCTCTCCTTTCATATGCCCATGCAGGGAATAAGACAGGAAATAGTAACTCACAGTTAGTAGTTAGTCTCATGTGTAAAAAGAAGGTGAGATAGAGAGCGGGGAACATTGCCAGTGCAGCGCCATCGCACCCACCCCTGTCCAGCGCCATCACACTCACCCCTGACCAGCGCTGACAGCAATGTCAGGCAGCATGTTCCTGGCAACTCACCGCTGTCAAACGTTAACAACAATTTCAAGCAGCATGTTCCTGGTGACTCACCTCTGCCCAGCGCTGACAGCAATGTCAGGCAGCATGTTCCTGGCAACTCACCGCTGTCAAACGTTAACAACAATTTCAAGCAGCATGTTCCTGGTGACTCACCTCTGCCCAGCGCTGACAGCAATGTCAGGCAGCATGTTCCTGGTGCACTGCAGGAGATAGCTGCGCAAGAACAGGCCGCGCTGTGGATGCTGTACGCCACGGCACATCTCCACCAAGTCCTTCAAGATGTCTTTGCGAGGAGCCTCATTTGCCCGAATATACACCGCACCAACAGTGATCAGCAGGTACCTGCAAGACAACAAGAACAACACAGTGACAACATAATACACAACACAATACACAACATAATACACAACACAGTGACAAACACTCCAAACATAATACCGCCAAATCGTACTTCTAAGAGCATTCAGTAGCATAACAGGTAAAAGGTAAATGATGTACTTCCTGTAGCTTCATCTTCATTCCAATCCCCAGCTATATTAAAGTGTTACTGTGCCGGTTGTGTGAAATAGTTCAGTTAGAGCGATGGGTACATGACTAGTCTGGAAACAAAGGTAACCTCAATACTTACATACATAATAACTAAATTAATATTTAAAGACAGCACCAAGTGACTAAAAACATGACATCAAACATATGCACGCGCGCTCACAAACACAAGCAAACACACACACACAATACACAAACAACTTACAATCTTGGCACAATGTTACCAGCATACTGCACAAGCTCATAGAGATCAGATATTCTGCGGCCCTTGTTGAATTCCTCGACTAGGAAGAGTTCTAAATGCCGAAGTTCATCGCATACACTCATATCTAAGATGCAACTATGTCAAGGAACATGACTGTGTTCTTCACCCTTGACTCATCGCCTAATGTATTTATTTATATTGTATACTGGTACTATTCTGTGTTCAACCTGCGCCTCACCAATCTGTCCATAATTTAATTAAGTTATTATGCGTGTTTCAGGAATGGGCTTAAACTGTCCAGCTCCATAATAACAGCACACGAGCTCTTCAGTTTTGGAAGATACCCATTCTTTATGCCATGTCATGTCATGTTAGCTGGCATCACTATCAGGCAACAAAGATGCAATATACAACATCCAGTAAGTACGGTAATCATAATTGACATGTTGATCATTGCACTATGACAATATGTATGTGTGTCAAACATATTGTCCCTGGGAGATATTTTCAGGCAGGGTTTGAAAACTTCAACCGCCTTTCAACCCCGGGCCTATTACCGGGCGGCGATTATTTTGGTGCAGGGCTTGTTTCAGGAAATGCTTTATATATTTGAACGTCAAACGTCTTCCACTATCAGTGTTACCAAGATCTGGCTCGTGCATGCAGAACTGTACGACGGGCACATGAGGAGCACGAGTGGCGACAGGCACTAGTAGTGAATGCAGTGGGGCACTATGACCAAATATTCACAAGATGCTAAGACTTGACATGTGCACTTGGTCATTCAACATTAGTTTTCACAAATTAATTTAATTTTAATAATTACAGTACACCCAAACTAATGTACACATACATGTACATCTCACCAGAAAATCTACACACTCCCTCCTAATTCAACTGTAATCATTTTAGATATCGACTGTCAACTATGGTTCGTGAGGAGGATACAGAGCTCGTAATAAGTTTTAGGGGACAACATAGACGTTCGAAGCTCTCCAAGCATTGTTGAAGCGTTCTTCAGGGCGTCCATCAGTTTTGCCTTGTCCTACACATGAAACACACAGAGACCCTGCGTTAACATGGATCTCAGGCTTCTTCAAACAATCGAAGGACCACGTACTAAACATCTTTTCATCTGAAACGACTGCGCTTTCACAATCTGCAGTGCTTCTTCCAACAGCTTTTCCTGCTCCTCCTGCGGAGACAGGTTTTGCGTGGCCGACGGCTAATCAGAGCAACAGCAAATAGAACATATAGTGAGCTGGATAATGTCTTGGCCTAGGCAACTGGAGCAATGGCCTCCATACCATGACTTCGTCGTCTGCCTCAGCAATTTACTGCAACAACATCTGCACTCGCGGACACCAAAACAGTTTCACAGCCAATTTTTCACCTCCCTTGATTTTGAAGTGAACAGCAGCAGCGTGCACAGTGCCAGTGATGCATACACTGGTACATGTATCCGGGGATACCCATCCATGTTCAACAGAGTTTGACCGGTACCGTACCCGCTACCGCGCACGGGTACGTACAGCTCTTTTGCGCGAAAGCCGCGGCCCTAGCGCCCTGCAGTGTAGCTGTGCATATCGGCCGAATCCGCGTGTACGCGCGCATGTCGGCAGTCATCGCGCAGCCGCGCGGTCTCACCCGCACCTTGCGCTAAACATTCCCGCGGCCGCGAGGCGCGGCACAGATCTGACGAACTCGGTATTAAATTTTTACGACTCCCTGAACTGACAAGTGAGAAATCATGTGACTTGAGTCTTCAGTGACCATGGTGACGTTTCAGTTTCCAGGCGGTAGAGGCCTATCGAGGGGCTCTCCTGTGACTTCACTGTACAGTGTGCAGACTTTACTCACAGTGAGTCAATGTTATGTCTTCGAGTTCGAGGCTGGACAAGGACTCCATATTCCATAATATTATCATAAACAATGCAGAGTGTCCAAGAAAGCAATGAGCCGTAACCATGGCGCTGGTGTAATGGCATGCATGCAGAACTATCTATGCGCGACAGATCATCCAGTGACTGCTACCATCACTGGTGTCTCAACCATTGTCTGGCCATACACCAGCAGTATTGAAGTGATCACGTTACCAGAGACGATGCCGCAGCCAGCCCTGCGGTACCGGTGGTCACACCAATACCAGTTGATGTGGTAGGGAAGGTGCTGCATAGGATGGCCCGTTCTTATTCTCTACTCAGCAGAGGGTAGGTCAGATTCACATCACACGCTACAGGTAGAGTTAGGGTCAGGGAGTGATTACCGCCGGTACTCGAACCGGCTATTCACTGTTCTCTGTGTGAGTGAGTGCTCTGGTCGGTCAGCAGAGAAGCAGAGAGGAACATACCGCACAGGAAAGCCGAGATACATTGTACGTGCAACGTACTAGTATTCACAATTTATGTAGGGTATCTGCTAATACGGATTATGCTTCAGGTACTAGGTCTTGAAAGGAGGAATAAGAGAGCAACTGATGCTTGTGGCAAAATAAAAATTGAAAACGGTGACGCCCGCATCTACCGAAAAAAAGGGTTAAAATCTCAAACTCAGTACCAATGTAAGGCATATACATGATTGTACAGTCATGTGAAGACATCAGTAGTCAGGCGCGTAGCACCGCCGATGGCGGTGGTCCGGCCAGGGGGGGGGGGGGGGGGTCCAGGGGGATCTCCCCCCTGTTTTTTTTTAAAATTAGGGTGCAAAATCCTGCATTCTGGGCACTTTTGGCATTGTTTAACTATGGTGGTCGTGGTCGGGCGAAAAAGTGGTCCGGCCAAAGCCGGACCGGCCGGAGCGGCTGCTACGCCCCTGGTAGTTCAATACCGTATGCCAGGTTCCTGCAATTTCTTCATAGTGTGTGATGTACAGAAAGGAGGCAGGGTACACGGTTGCTTGGTATTGGACCTACTACTACAGCTGGTGTATTGGTAGGGCAATCACTGGAAGCAGTTTTTGATTGGCTCGGTAGAATTGTGGCCTTTCATACTTTGGGTATCGAAACGTTGGATACATATGCCCTCCACAGTACCAAACACATGTTGGTGGCCAAAAAGTTGGTCCGGCAATAACCTGACCAACCGGACCGGTTCCAGCAGGCCTGTTTGGTACGGCAATCACTGGAAGTCGCATAGCTGTGATCATGGACCTGCTAAGCTCCATACTTAACGTAGCCCTTCGATTCACATCAAAAGTGCCTAACACTAGGACATAGTGTTTTCTCTGGCACAACGAACCGCAACTTGCGGTCCTGAGCCACTGCTAAGCATACTGAGTACCTCTGAACACAAAGTGGCTGGAGTAGGATGAGTGCATTCTAACTGTCAGAGCAGTCGCGGTACAATTGATTGCGCAACAAAGTGGCTGGAGAGTTGTGGAGCAACAGCGGCACAGCTGCTTGCTCCACCGTCATAAACACTCACACATCCTCCTCACTTTTATCACTCTCGTCTGACTCGTCACTTCCAAATGTCTCAACCTTGCCAAGGCCTGCAGCTGAGCGCCCTCTCAGTGCCAACATAGCAGCCATTTGGGCCATTGACGAAGGTGTCGACGACGTCGCAAACAAGTGTGTTGGAGATAATGAACTGGCTTCGGTAGTAGCTGAGCAGTGATCATCTACATGCTGGTCAACCCTGGTGGATTCCACTTGCTTGTTTGCAGCAAGCGCCGAGCTAGGTACATTGTCCCCAGGCTGATTACTGCATAGTGGTGCCAGAGCATCAGCAGACTGTGTGTTTGTGCTACTGTCGTTAGTGCTGCTGCTGGTGGTGGTGCTGCTGATGGTGGTGGTGATATCATCTCTCCTGTGGATGTAACTATCATCTGGACCAGGCATGCACTGACCACTAGACTCTGCTCTTGGAACAGACTCAGGTTGGATGCATTCAGATAGATCAGGTGCTCCAGCAGTTGAATCGGATACAGTGCCATTGGTGCTGCTCTCGGTGACCTTTGACGACACGGCAGCAGCACTAGCAGTGGCCTCAGACGTAGTGGAAGCAGTCGATGCATCAGCACTTGCACTGGTGGATGTAGCGGCGGCGGCAGACTTGCGCAGTACAGCATTCGCTTGCCTGGATGCAAGCACAGCTTTGAGCTCTCTCACCATGCGCAGGGGTTCCTCAGCTTCCCGCTGTCGGCGCTCCTGAGCACATCAGAACACAACACAACAGAGTAGAGAACGAAAACAGAAATGCTACTGTACATGTAAATGCAGCTAATTCACTACATGATCAACGAGCAATGGAAGGGACTAGGGATACCAAGAGATCTTTAACAACAACGACAACAACAACAGCAGCAGCAGCAGCAATGGCAACAACAGCATGACTACACTGTAGTACATTCCAAGGCATCCTTACTACACTGCTATAGGAGTGGAGATGGAAGGGCAACTCACAAACCAGCAGATCAACAATAGCACGACCCAACCCATGCTCTCACTATCTCTGCACGCCTCTCAGAGGGTGTTAGCTTTCTCGTTTCATTCTCGGATTCGTCACTACTATCCACCGTGGCTTCATACACCTGCAGTCAAAAAGAACATGACGCACATATACACTGTCATGGACATAGAAATCCGGTCGAATGATGCGTACAGAACGTTGCATACAGTGCACATGTTGATCGTATGCGTACTCACGGCTGCATGGCCAACGCCCTGGGGCCGCTTGACCTCCGACCGGATTTCCATGTCCACACAGTACTTCCATACACATGTACATACGTACACAGCATGACGTACAGATGTACATCCGTACACAGCAATACAGTGAAGAAAGGCATTGATACTGAACTATGGATCCCGTGAAGGACGTAGCATCAATGACATTGAATGTACAGTCAGACCGCGCTTATCCGGTCCTCTTTTATTCGGATCCCTCGCCATCCGGAAGAAAATCGCTGGTTACCGATTTACAGCACACGCCATGCATACATACAGTATGTGTGTTCGATTATCCTGTTCCCTCGCCTATCCGGATATTTTTGTGCAAAACGGATGTAAGCGGTTATGCGAGGTCTGACTGTATTCCACTTTGGATTTGCGGGGAAACTGAGTGAGGATTGCACCGAAGGGTGTTTCGGATTTGCGGGGAAACTGAGTGAGGATTGCACCGAAGGGTGTCTCAGGGCCTTTGCTCAACTGTGACCAGCTGCAGCAGGATAGCTGGTCGCTGTCCATAGCAAGTGTCCAGGGCAAGCAACCTGGAACTCGTCACTGCCGTTAACAGCTGGCCGTCGAAATCCCTTGCATGCTTGGATGTGGCGGTTCATACACCGTCAGCAGCCCGGCAGCATTCCTGATTTTCTGACATCCTACTCTGAGTTGGTCATCAGAATGCAATGAAAACCTTGAAGCTGGGCTTTCTGAATACATGAAGCGTACGCTAGCCAGAAGACAAGTGGGGACATTTTTGATTGTAGGCTGTACAACTATTTGTGCTAGTGTTTGCAAGCGTAAAAAGGTTCTCGTTGAATCAAAAACAAGCACAGTTTACTCAATCCACCCAGCTTAAAATAAAGCAGAGACCACATTATAAACAGAACTTGCACTCACCCTTTCCTCGTCATCTGATTCTCCAACAGCGGGCTTATCATCTCGACTAGCAGGGTCTGGGGAGACAAGAGAAACACAAAACAACAACACCCAAGCACACGCAGCACAATGGTGTCAGTTGAACACGTTCCAATGCTGCATCAGAACGCACAGAGGCAGCATGAATACATGATTTTATCATGCCACAATCTAAAAAGATCGTGGGAAAATTGTGCGCCGGGACAATAAAGATAGCTTAAGAATGTACCTGCATTAAAATAACACGAGGAAGGAAGATAAGAGAATGGGAATATGCCGATTTCAGTAAAAGAGAAAAGCAATGCTACAGGCTCACCTGCTTCCAATGTCATAGCTTCATCTTGCCAATCTAAGACTGCACAACAAACATATTTGAGACACACATGCATCTTTAATATCCTTCAGCTTACGATTGAAAACAATCAGCAGGGATATGAACTGATCAGCATAACAATCGGGCCTCAAGAAGTCCAACAACAACAGCAGCAGCAACAACTTATTGGCAACCAAATGACTCTTTCAAATAGACACAAAACACACTGAAGCGCACTGGTACAAACAAGAACACAAGCAATCGGGCCTACTCCCTCCCCCCCCCCCCTCCCACACACAGTGACACACGCATGCACACATACACGCACGCACACACACACACAGACACAGACACACACACACACACACACACGCACACGGACACGCACATATACCCACACACATACGAATATGCCTACAACGAACATACACACATACATATACACATTGAGTGGTTGACATTATTATACATGTGCATACCTTCTCCAGTTGTGTCTGGGGCTCTATCAACCCTACGCAGTGCAGTGAGACTGGCTGATACATCCGTAATATACGATTGTGATGAGGAAACTGACACTTCCACCAGATCAACACAAGCTATAGGAACACATATGCATGCACAAGCACGGCCAAGACGACGGCGCCAACACCCACAGCAGCAGCACCAGCAGCAGCACCAGCAGCAGCACCAGCAGCAGCACCAGCAGCAGCACCAGCAGCGGCTGTTTCCGATTAGATGAATAAAGAACTCTCTCTCTCTCTCTCTCTCTCTCTCTCTCTCTCTCTCACCCTTTCTCTCTCCCCCCCCCCTCTCTCTCTCCCCTCTCTCTCTCTCCCCCCCCCCCCCTCTCTCTCCCTACCTCCCTCCCTCCCAGTCGATGCACCAGATTTGAAAAATCACTTTGGAACACGAGTTCTATTTTTCAGATGCACCTTTTTGTGCACTTTTCTCAAGGCATTCTCAACATATGATCGTTTGCATGTAAATACACTGCTTGCCAGTCTCACGCTTTCTCTGAGTTAGTCGTCGCACTCGAGGATTCAGTAGTCGCCTTTCACCTTTTTCTGTTATGAGTTCTTCAAGAACGGCGAAATTCTGTAGTTTGGTGTCGGTTTGTCTCCTTTTCTTTTTTCGTTGAAATTTCGTCGCCTGACCTATTTTCGTGCCACCGCATTTCGTTGCTTCTATGCTGGACATATCGAAAGAGTAAGTCTTTGT